GACCATGGTGCGTAGAGCCTCCTCCGTCCTATGCTGATGCTGTCCGAGGCTCACCCGCTGATCAACACAGGCGTTTTGTTCAGCGGAGAAGCTCATTAGGATCATGTTGACCAACTGCAGCTTGCTTTCCGCCTCGGCCACTTGAAGTTGGTATTCCTTAGTTCGAAACTTTCGCCTCTCTTTCCGTGCCTCTAGCATTGATTCTTTCGCGGCGGGGCAGTTTTTGAGAGTGTACTGATTAGGCGAGGCGTCGAGCATCTTGCCGTATTGTTGAATGGATCTCCGATGTATCCTCCAGGGAGGTTGGCTAACATTGGCTCAACGGAATGTATTTATGTCCTAGATCTATACATCATTCAACGTCTGTGGACGTATCGAATTATGGATTCTCATGTTAGCATAGAGTGCAGGACAGTAAGAGGCGGAAATGATTCTAGATTCTGGGTTGCGGATCCTTCTGGCTGCAGCTCACATATCTACGCATGAGCTTACGCTGCTTTTGTCTGTAATGGAAGCGACAATTGGTGTTTCACTCAAGCCGTTCTGTTAGCAGGATTGAGTCAAAGTGTGTTGAACGCTAGATGTCGCTTTCGTGGGAGTTTCTGTTCGCTTGGTACCGGAGATTTGGTCGGGAGCCATATTGCTCGTCATCAAACGTTTGCATGCGGTCGCGATGAATTTCGGATAGTCCTGGAAAGTCAGGAAGACGAAACTGGACTTCGAGTGCGACTGCAGGTCCCAGCGCGAGCACAATTTCAAGCTCATCTCCACAACGCCTTCTCTCTTCGTCTTTCAGAGTCTTCAAGCGTCCGATCACAACAATCACCCCAAGAGTATCTCTTTCATGCCGTCTCCGTCATTTCTGTCTTTCAATCTGCTTCATCTCACATAGCCTCACTGCCCTCTTCACGAATTGCGATTGAGCTCTTTGCGTCTAAAGCTTCTAAGGGAACACTGCTTAACATCAAAGATCTTGTTCTCGCCCTGGCTGTCTTTTTCTGGTGTGAATTAGAGCCATTTCAGGCTCACAGTAGACGGCAGCCGTTCACCTCGACCGCAAGAATACTTAAGACACAAAGCATCTCCCCAAGCCGTTGTGTTCGGACAGGTCAAACCTCTTTATCAGAAAAATGGCAGAAGGTCCACGAAGAAGTGCCAGGCTCCAAAACATGAGGGAAGCCTCCCACGTGCCGGAAGCGGCGAAAGCCCCAGCTGCTCCGGCTCGCAGAAAGAAGAAGGCCTACGTGAGGAAACAGGAGGAAGTGATTTCGGACTTGAAAGGAAAGATGAATATGTACTCGACAGAAGCGCAATATGTCTTCGCCGACATGCAGGCCCGCCTCGAAAAGTACGAAGCAGACGAACGAGAGCGCAGAAGTCAGCAACAGACCTCCAACTACAATGGCCC